GTAGAGACGGGGTTTCACCATGTTGATCAGGATGGTCTCGATCTCTTGACCTCGTGATCCACCCGCCTCGGCCTCCCAAAGTGCTGGGATTACAGGCTTGAGCCACCGCGCCCGGCCCACTGTGGTCTTTTCTATGGTGTCTCCACTGAGAACAGTAGAGTGTAACAGAACCCAAAGAGAAGATGAAGTAGAAAAAAAATCAGAAGTTGTTTTGACAATGAGGGTATTACCCTCATTCAATCTAATTCACAGATAAAAGGGCAACGTAGAATAAGCACGTTTCTTCCACAAAAGAACATACTGATATGGTCACAAATTTTTATTTTTCCTTATGGAAAACTATTAATAGGAAAAAAAAAATACCTATTTTCGCCATCTCTCATATGTTAGTGGCCTGAAGATTTTAAATAGAAAGTTGGGAAGTCAAATAACAAAGGTGTTACTATCTTTTTTGAGATAGTTTCCCTCTTGTTGCCCAGGCTGGAGTGCAATGGTGCGATCTGGGCTCACCACAACCTCTGCCTCCCGAGTTCAAGCAATTATCCTGCCTCAGCCTCCTGAGTAGCTGGGATTACAGGCATGTGACACCATGCCCAGCTAATTTTGTATTTTTAGAAGAGACGGGGTTTCTCCACGTTGGTCCAGCTGGTCTTGAACTCCCGACCTTAGGCGATCCGCCTGCCTCGACCTTTCAAAGTGCTGAGATTACAGGTGTGAGCCACTATGCCTGGCCAAGATGTTACTATTTTAAAAACGTGAAAGATGTTACTATTTTGAAATCAGATGCTAAGATGATTTTTACTTATTATCCATGTACTTTCATATTTTTCAAAGGCGTTTTCTCTAGACATTAACACATAATGATCTGTTTCATGTTAGTAACCTTATTTTAGCTCTGCTTTTACTTGTATTGTTACCGTAAGTCAACAATATTGAGATCATCATCCCCACTAATATTTATAAAGTGCTTACTATATACCAGGAATTTGCTAAAATTTTAATATGCATTATTTTATTTACTCTTTGTCATTGCCCCCTGATGTAACTACTACAGCTAGTGCTCGATTTATGACCACGATTGGGACCAGCAGACCGGTTGTAACACGATTTGGTCGTAAGTTGAGTAGGCTATATGTACAGTTGAAATGGTGCACGCGGAGATGGTAGTGCTGCCGGAAGCTGGCC